TGTCAAACTAAAAAAAATAAAAAATCCCACGCAAATTAACATCGTTTGTGCAATTTTATTTTGAGTGACTCATCTTCTCAAATTCCAACAAAGGTAAACATGGAAGCCTGATCGCATATTAACACCAGAGCTCTAAGAAAAACAAAACTATAAAGCACTTTTTATTTTTTTAGAAACCCAATCACTCCAATATGTCTGCCACACCATAATCAGATACCATCAGTTATTACACCACTACAGTGAGTGATCACGAAACCAAACAAGCTGCTAGATAAGGTTTTGCAAACATCCTCCTCAGATACACAGAACGGTGTGTTGCTGTGAGGTGAATCCTTATGAATGCCACAGTAATTAACATCTATAGACTGAAACAACAGCATGAAAAATGAAAGCAGATGCAACATTAATTATCCAACAGCTTACCAGCCAGGTGCTTATTTACCAAAGGAGTTTACCTATTTGGCTTCAGCAAAGACAAATGAACACAATGTGTTCTGTTGGCATGTTATTTAAAACTGAATGTCAGTAATAACCAAAGATAGCTGATGGTTATAGGCAGGAGAATAGGAAAGCTGTTGGTTGGGGCATAAAGTAATGGAAGAACTGTGAAATGTTCACGTCCTGTACACGAGGCCACCATTAATGTCCAACCATTGCAAACTGCTTTAAAGATCTGTGTCAGTACATAAAACTGAAATTACCACAATGTAAAACTTCACCAGCAGCTGTACGTCTCACAGTTTGACTTTTTTCTTAATCCAAACAGTGAGACATATACTGTAGTACTCGTATTTTGTTTTTAATTCAAGTTTCATAGGCTTGCATACCACATTCCAGCCGCACTGTTAAGTGATGCAGTTGTCAAATTGAAGAACAACCTTGTTGGAGCAGCTTTGAAATGGCATCTAATAACAAGGCTGTAAAATATACGGCTCATTGGCTCATTTGGAAATGAAGAGAGTGATCACTGATTATTACATAATGTTTCCTTAGTTTGACAATGAAAGTAAAATTCGGTTTCAAACCATTCTGTTGCTGATACATTGTACTGTACTGTGAAACCTATAAAGGTTTTTTTTTTTATTAGTTCTATATGTGTCTGATCAATGAAATACAACTATTTTTAAAGTAAAAGGTCATATTCAAAGTAATAAAGAAATGGTATGGAGATTTTTATTATTTTATTCATCAAATTTCATGAAGATTCATAAAATTTCATGAAGGCAAAGTGTTTTCACCGAATGGAATTACAAAATGAACAGACAAGCTGCTCTGAGCCTATTACAAACCCTGGAGAGGTCGCCAATCAACACCATGCCCAGTTATCCCAACTGACCGTAGAGACAAATGTCTTGTCACAGTTTCAGGGTTAGTAGCTTTTCCAAACGCCTCCTTTCCATGAAGAGTGATTGATGATGAAAGGAGGTGCTGGTAAAATCCAACTGGCGCTGTAGACTGGACAGGCTTTAAACTCACAGGGCCAGTCTCTCCAAGCGTATCGAACAGCAGCGACTTCAGACGACTGACACACAGCAGCTGACAGCTGGATGGTGGTCAGATCCCACCACACTATAGGAGTTTGAAGCCAAAGGGACTTAGGCCCACATGGAGCCCAAATATCCGAGCAACAGACCTTGATTAAAAAGACAAGAGAACAACAAGTGACTTTGACTTAGAAGTCATCACACCAAGTATTGACTACAGCTAAATAAGTGCATGATTATAGGAGTAGAACTTAGACAACCCACAACTACAATAGTAAATAATCTAAGAAGTAACATTCTACAATGTTTCTCACTGATATGCACACACAATCTGCACACACAACCTGCACACCAGTAGTGACAGTGTTGGAATGCAGGGTGCAACGGTCCAACAAGTCTACATGTGCTTTGTCGATTTGGAGAAAGCGTCCCTCAGAGGATCCTGTTTGAGAGGGTTCAGGAGTATGGGGTATCTGACCCACTGCTATGAGCAATTCAGTTCGGTGGTTCTTGGACTTCACCCAGTTTGTTGGTTTTGAATTTGTTGGCTTCAAAATGTGTAAGCTTTATAGGGTGGCAGCCTCCAAATTGGACTGGAACCTCCAAGTCTGAGACCATGGTTCTCAGAAAATAAAGGGATGGTGTTCTCACTCCAGATCAGGTGCTTTGTAATTTGTAATTAAGTTAGGATGAGTTGCTGCCCCAAGTAGAGTAGTCTAAGTATCCTGGGGTCTGGTTAACAATTGAAGGGAGAGGGGAGCTGGAAAATGACAAACAGATTGGTACAGCTTCTGCATTGATGGGTGTACCAATCTGTTGTGGTGAACCAAGAGCTGAGTATAAAAGCAAAGTTTTTGATTTACCAGCTGATCTACATTCCTACACTCACTAGGAGTGTAGGAATGTAGACTCCTAGTGAGTGTAGTGTAGTCGCTTCAAGTAATGACTGAAAGAATAAGATCGCAGATACACGTGGCAGAAATAAGTGAAGTATGGCTGGGCTTAGTTTGAGAGACAGTTCAGTCATTCAGAAAGCACTCAAAGTAAAGCCATGACTCCTCCACATCACATTGAGCCAGTTGAGGTGGTGGCATCTGATTAGAACGCTGCCTGGGCGAGTTGTTATGGATATAGTCCACCAGGCAGATATCCTGGGGTAGGCCCAGGACATGCTGGGCATATCCTGGGGTGGGAAGGCAATGGTGTTCCCTCAGATGAGGTGGAGGTGGTGGCTTGAGGCCAACTGTTTAGGTTGTTTTCCCCATGACTTGGCCCCAGATAAGCAGAACAAAATGGATGGACGGATGGATGGATATCTTGCTGTAGGACACTTTTGAAAGGGGTCTAGGGATACAAATGTCAACCCTAAAGTTGCCACCCTTACCTCAAAGATGTCTTTGGATGGTGTGACAGAGACTGCCTGGTCATAGGTAATGTTGACGTACATCTGAGTGGATGCAATTTCTTTGGGGAAAGGTCCGAGGAAGGGAACATTCTCTTCCTCATAAGCCACAGCCCTAGCACCCAGTGTCAGTCTATAGGCTACATCCTGCTTGTCTCTGGGATGGATCCTGAAACAGAAAAAAAAAAAACCATGTCATTCAACTGTGTGTTTTTTTTTTCTTTTAAGAGATGTGCCAGTTGGTAAGTCAACAGGAGGGGATGAAAAGCAGGTCACAACATGTGGGTACTTTTTATTGAAGAAAAGCCTCCAGAAATCAGCTTCCCTGTTGATCTTTTTGGTTCTGGTACCTAAAGAAGTCTGTTGATGTTAAAGTTATGCCAGGCACAGGCTGTGTTTTGGCGCTATATCAGAACAAAAGCAGAAACTCTTTATTCAGAAGAAACTTGAATGCAAGAGTAGAAGCTTTTCAACAAGTAGAACTTGAGCTGATTTTTCCCAATAAAACTCTTGCAGCAGTATTTTTATAAACAATCCGATTGTCATATAAACTAGAATCCAATATTTGTACTCTCAATACTTTGTATCTGTTTAGAGTTAGCTTTACACTAGCCGTACCACTGAAAAATAATCAACGCCATCTTCAAATACACAATTCTTTCCCTCAGAAGTGATTATGATGACATTAGATAAATTCAGTAATCTGCACTGGATTGTTCTTTTAATAATCTCATGACATAAAAAAAAAAACAGAGGTACGTTTCTTAAATGGAGTTTTAAGCATCACTCATCTCTTTCCCACCAATGCAGAACCAATTCTGCCACTGTAAGTGAAAAACAGCCTGCATGTTAATTCCAGTACCTAATCTAGAACTGATACTACCAGGTTAGACACCTACCTTATGGACAAGAGGTAAAATTGGCATGTTCCTCTCATCAGGTAAGGGTCAAGTACCACTTACCAACTCCATCCTCTTTTCCATAAATTGCCACTTTTGGCTCCAAAAATTGCAACATTTACAGCTAGCCTTGACTTTGGTATTTTCACCATCCACAAACAATCAGTGACATCAGAGGGGTTCCTTTTTTTTTTTTACCTAGTCTATTTTCATCCCCAAATGTGACAGGTGTGCCTCAGCTTGTAGAGTGGGTAGACCAATGGCTATTTAGAGTTTTGAGGTTTAATCTCCACCTTCTCTTGTCCACATGTAGAAGAGTCCTTCGCCAAGACACCAAAACCCACTTGGCATCTGACGAGAGGAGAGTTTCTTGTGGCTCTTGAATGTTGGGTAGAATGCTAAAAGTATTAGCTAAAGAGAGTTGTACAGTCTGTCCATCTTAAGACAGTACAATGTGACTGACATACCTGTGAGAAAAATTTGCCTATTAAAGGCGGCCTCTGAAATGTTGATGGTTATGTATGAAAATACAGTTTACATTGTTGGGTTAGGTTGCATACTAATACTCAACTGGATAGAGAACTGCATCACATGTCTGTTAAATAATGAAGAAGTGGAGAAAGCTCATTTCCGCTGCTTGTATCCACAATCTTGTTCTTTCGGTCACTAACGAAAGTTTGTGACCACAGGTGAGGGAGGGGATGTAGATCGACTGGTAAATCGAGAGCGCTTTTACACTCAGCTCTCTCTTCAACATGACAAATCGCTAGAGTATCTGCATTACTGCAGCTGCAGCACCGTCTGTCGATGTCCCACTCCCCTTTCCCCTCACTCGTGAACAAGACCCTGAGATACTCAAACGCCTCCACTTGGGTCAGGAACTGGTCCCTAACCCAGAGTGAGCACTCCACCCTTTTTCGGCTGAGGACCATGGCCCCAGACTTGGAGGCGCTGATTCTCATTTCTGCCGCTTCACACTTGGCTATAAACAGTTTCAGTGCGAGCTGGGGGTCACTATCTCATAAAGCCAGCAGAACCACATCATTCATAAAAAGCAGAGACGTGATTCTGAAACGGCCCAAGCAAAAGCCTTCTGCCCCTTGGCCTAGAAATTATATAAAAATTATGAACAGAATCGGTGACAAAAGGTAGCCCTGGCGGAGTCCAACTCCTACCGGGGACTAGTCTGACTTATTGCCGGCTACGCAGACCAAGCTCTTCCAACTGTTGTATAAGGATTGATCTGATTATATGTCCAATTCTTATTAATATCTGACTCTCTTCCACAGTGTCTCTTTTTTCCTGTCCACCTCCCCTTACCCCCAATGACTGTGTCCCTTCCTAAGCCTGGTTCTGCCGGTGGTTTCTTCCATTTAAACAGGAGTTTTTGCTTTCCACTGTCGCCAAGAGCTTTGTCATAGCAGATCATCGGATTGGTGGGGTTTTCTATATATTATTGTCTTTACCTTACAATACAAAGTGCTTTGAGGCAACTGCTTTTGTGATTTTGCGCTATATAAATAAGACTGAATTTAAATAAACTTGTGTGTTTGGAAACAAGGGTTTTTCCACAGAGTACTAATGTTTAGCTTGAGAATATGCAAATAAATGTATAACTTTTTATGCAAACTGCCTTTTCTGGATTTTTGGTTGATATTCTGTCTCTCTAGACAAAAATGAAGCTACCAAAGAAAATTGGAGACTGTTAATTTCTTTGTAAGTGAACAAACCAAATAATTCTGCATGGGATCCAGTAATTATTTCCCCCACTGTATACACTAGATATAACAAAAATTCTATGCTTTCACTTGTTCTTACGTGCCATACGGCGAAGTTGCATCTGGTAAATCCAAAGCCACAGCCATGAAGGTTTTCTTCATCCTGAGATTAGGAACAAAACCGAAGTCTGCTGTTTGGTGCCAGCGGATGTTTGGAAAGCCATCATCTTTGGAGGTCTTTCTGTAAGTGGACAGCTGCACATGCAGAGGAATCACTCATCACCATTGCAACACAATAAACAATGTTATAAATTGGCCTATGTTACACTTCTACTGAAAAGAGAAGCCCTTGTGTTGTTGGATGCTACAGTGCTACAGTAATGGTGCACCTACACCAAAAATGTTTCAGGTTTACTCTTTGTTAGTGTTAAACCAATGCCTAACAGACCTGGACAAACCCAAAGGGGAAGTCAGGAGCTGTTTGCCCCCCTGAGCCCTGATGAAATGCCATCCTCCAGTCATCAATCATAGCTGGGAAGGAACAGTTGTACTTGTCCTGGTTATACTCTGCATTGGCCTCACCTGAAAATGTGATAAACCCCAGAAGTTTATGTGAGTCACTGAATACTCCAAACCTACCTGTGATATAAGGAGTCTTACCTTGGTACCAGAGGGCTCCTTTGATGGTCATATTGAGCAATGGGTGGATCATTGAATTCCACAAAATAGAATTTTTTTTAGGTCTGAGATCACAACACGGAGAAAACATGCACAGTGCAGTTAGTACAGACCATGTTTGATGGGTATTAAACACACAGAAACAACTGCTGTCTTAACCTCAGTCAGACTGCTGGCTAGCTGGAGAATGTGTCTTTATGTCCTTACCCGTCTACAACTGGCACTTCTTGACACTGTTTCAGGGCTCTTGAAGATGACCACACTTCGACTGGTGTTCCACCCCAACAGGACTCCACCAGTCCTATGGGGTACTTCAAGGTCTCATACATGTAACGTCCAAAGAGCCAGCACACAGCAGAAAACCCTTCCACCACACCTGGAAACACAGCTGTTCATTAATCAACCAGTATAACGCAAGCTAAGAGCGGTATATATGTATCATGGTTGATATTTATTTGACCTGAGACCATATTATAATGTCATATGTTGAAACCACAATAAAACCATAGCTTGAATTTAGGGACAGATGCAAAATATTATATGAATGTTCAATAATCCAAAACAAAACCTTTAAGTGTAAACACATTTTCCAATATCTCAATAAATACTTAAAACGAAAATAAAATCGTATCTTACTGGCAGTGGGCACAGACCAGGGAATCTCTACTTCTATCAGATCCATTAACTCGATGTCACTTGTGTTCAAGGCTACCATAAAAGGCCTCACATAAGGATACTTAGCAACAACAGACAGCTCCTCAGTTGCATTGAAAATCTGGTGAAGAGTGAGGAGTAAACAAAATAGATATGCTTTAACAAATGACTAAATACATTTTAAGAAGAAACTGCTTTTTGCCTTATATGTTTGATGGCTCTTTTGTAATTGGGCAAAGATGCAGAGGGTTTTGGCATGTCCCAGCTGACACCAGGCAAAACCTGAATGTCAGCACAGAGACAGACAACCTTACCTGAGTCATGTTAAACCACATGTTGCTCTGCCCTCCACACATCCAAATGTCTCCAAACAGCACATCTGTAAGAGTAGCTGAATCGTTTTGAACTTTTGCTGTCACATTATATGGACCACCAGCAGCAACAGGGTCAAGGGTCACTTGCCAAATGCCTTGAAGAAAAACAAAACAAAAAACTTTTAGCTATGTGTAACATTGTAGCATTTATGAAACATGATCAAGACAAATTCATAGACTGAATCTGAGGCACAACATGCTGTTACTTTTACTAGGTCAGTGACCACAGTTACAGACCACAAGCCCCAAAACAAAAGTGAGGTACCCGCTATATCTGCTGCTGTCAGTTTCACCTAGTTTGAATTCAGTACAGACATCAGGATAAATCCCGTCTTTGACAACAACGTGCTGTACTTACCGTTTGTCACAGTGACCGGTGAGGCTTGTCGTTTAAATAAACCTGACAAGGAGACGGTAACCTGTGCACCCTCGGGGCCATATCCCCACAGCACAGCTCTCTCTGGAGACTTCTGCAGCACCATGTGGTCTCCATAGTAGGAGGCAAAACGCAACTTCCCATCTACACACACCAACAAGTTTTATTGTTTTATTACACTGAAAAAAACAAGCAAGATTAATGCTGCCTATGTCAGCCCAGGACACTTGCAAAAGATAGTGTTCGTCTCAGCAATTTCACTTCCTGGTTATTTAAAGTTTCAAGGAATCATAAAACTTGTGCGGATGAATAACCCCCCACCCCCCATAACATACATACACATGATAATTTTGTCCTGAGTAGGTAGATGCCTTTAACGATCTAAGAGAGAAGCTGTGTTTTGGGTCCAGTTAGATTTACATTAAGTAGGTCAAGGCTTGCTGGAAACTCGAAAACTGCCACAATATGCAGCGTAAGGATAATGCACTTACCACAAGTGTGAACAGAAGCTAAAAGTGCAAAAACAACACAAAGTGTAACAGCCATGATCACAGCACGAGCCGCCTTAACAGAAAGCTGTGTGGGGAAAAGTCACGCGCTTGTTGGCGACAGTCCACGTAACAGATACAAACGTCACTTGCGTTTCGGAAATCGGGATTTGTGCATCGATGTCGTGACGTCATCCAGCAGCTGACGCGCAAATCTCGTGATCCTTCAAAATAAAAGCCAGAAAAATCAACCGCGTTTTTAGTAATTCCGAAACGTCCGGAGCTCTATTCCACGAAACATTTTGTCCAAACTTGATAAACAATTATGATGATAAATAATTCACATTATTTAATCTCTTCCTGTGTTTTTTGTTGTTGTTGTTGTTGTTGTTGTTTTTTTTTTTTACATTTATCGGATACTATAAGACATCCGTCACAGCTGATTTAAATGGATAAATTACCTTCTCAACATGTCTTGAAGTTCTCCACAGGCCTGGTAATAAACTAATCATGTGATTCAGGTGTGTTGACCCAGGCTGAGATCTAAAACCTGCAGGGACACCAGCCCTAAGAGACAATACCAGATATATGACCCTGAAAAATTTTCCATGTAGTAGAACTCTTTCAAACACACTTGTGTCCCCTTGGAGTCATGCATTAAACATAAATTTACAGATACCATTAATGTCTCCTCTTATTTAAAATAATTAAAACACTACTATGAGTAACTGTGACAACCACAATGGGCATAAGATGTCTTTTTTTCCTTTAAGCATTAGATTTAGTGCAATCTGCAGTAAATTAGTTGCTGCAAACTTTAGTATAAACATTTACATTATGCATTTAAATAATTTTCTCTTGACAGGGAAATTTTCATCATGCTAGACTAAAAATACCCATATTCACAAAATCACTCACAAAACCTTCATATTTTAATATGAAAGCATAGCGTGCGGGCTACTGCCATATTGCTTTGTTACTGCAACAGTAGAGGCCGCTGTGAAATGCAATATTCACACATTTGACCTGACAACGTCTCCATTTTGCTTTGGTTTGAATCCCTGATGAGTTATTAAGCCAGTAAACCGT